TGATATCCAATGTATTCAGAAAGATGACACCTTCTGGTCAACCAACATAGAGCCTTTTCTACTCAAGTTTTACATGGAAGGCCCGACTTCCGCTGAAATTCCCTACGTAGACGAGTTGTCCGACCGAATAAACTGCAATTACTCCCGATCTGGGAATCTCTCGATCTTCGTTCGTAAGCCATAGTATCATGAGATTGAGGGGTGTGTCTCTTCGTCCGCCGAATATTGCTTCGGCGGGTGTTTTTACCGTGTAAGATGAGACCGTCGCGTGCTGCTGGAACAACAACCTGGCGGTTCTTCACTGAACTACTTCTTCCGTAAGCTTCAAAAGTTTTTTCTTTTTTTCGCACATTATCTCTTTTGCATGCCCGTTAGTTGCAGGATGGTATAGTGCACTAATGTGATGCCTGATGCCGGTTTTTGTTTTCTTCAAAAACTTGTTTATTTTGTTTGAAGCAACCGAACCGCATCTCCCAAAAAAATTTTTTTTGGGAGATGCGGTTCGGCGGTTGTAACGGGCTTTCGCAATAAATCTTACCAAGAAGGAATCAAATATTGATTGACGTGTTAATATTCTATCAATGAGAGAGAGAGAGAGAGAGAGAGCAACTTTAATGGGTCTCCTGCAGTAACCCCTATCATCCCACCCTCTCAGGTGGGTTCTTGGGGCGACGTGGCCGGACGTCTTCTTAGCGGGGAGAGCCGCTCGCGGCGGGCTTCAGCGTACTCGGGTTAACCCTTTCTGCTTCCATCCCGTCCGGTCGCTGCTTCTCGAGTGCCGCTAGGATCTGCTGGACGGCCGTGTGTTGGACGTCGTAGTCTTCGGATCTCTTCGCCTCCTCCATGAGGGGCGGGAGAACGTCTGCACTGTTGTCCGCGTTCGCGCATTCGCAGTCTTCCAGGATGTGGGCCAACGTGGCCCTTTCCTTCCCGCACAGTCTGCATAAGTCTGTTACGTATACCTCCGGCTACAGGTGCTTTGCTGACACTGGGGTTATCACGGAGTTAGTCTGTAACTGGCGGAATACCACCGCCTCCTCCCGCGTCAGACGGGGGTGGGGCAGGGCCATCGTTCTTCTGGCTAACCGGTACCACAGGGTTACCTCGTTGTAAGCGTCCATGGTGTCCTTCTCGGGGCGATCCACCACGTCGGCGGCGGCCGTTACCGGGGCGCGGCCGGCGAGTCCACGCGCCACGGAGTTGGCCGTCTCGTTGTGGTTGGTGAGCCCCAGCGAGCCCGCCACTTCCGCGCCCGCGGGGGCGGGAAACCACTTTATCACCGCACTGGTGATGACTCCGTTGACTTCGGCCTTTCGCGGGATGCGCGCTGCCGCACTGCACACTCGCTGTTTCGCAAAGTTGCGCACTGCCGTTCGCGAGTCGCACAACACCGTCTTCGTTCTGGGGTCCGCGATGGCGAGGGCTACCGCCACTTCTTCTGCCTGGCTGGGCACAGTGGTCCGCACGCTGGCCGCCATCCTGATCTCACCCGTTTTGGCTCCGATCACGCTGACGCTGAAGGCGTCGCCGATGTTCTTGTAACTGGCCGCGTCCACGAACACGGCTCCCTCATCGCCGGCGTGTAGCGCGATCAGCGCCTTGGCTCTCGCCTCTCTTCTTTCTTGATGGAATGTGGGAGTCATGTTCCGCGGGATTGGGCTCACGACGATGTGCTTGCCCAGCTCCCGCGGTATCTGCTCCTGCATCCGGTGGTCGTCTTCCTTGGCTCCGATGCCTAGTTGTTTGAGGATAGATCTGCCGGTCCTGGTTCCCGACAGTCTGGTGAGCTGCGCCGTCTGCTGTGTCTCGGCGATCTCTTCCAGGCTATTGTGGAGTCCCAGGGCTTCGAGCTTCTGCGTGCTCGTGCATCCTAGGAGTCCTAATGCTGATTTGTAAGCTTTGCGGATCATCGCGTCGATCTTCTTCCGCTCGCACTGCCGCCAATTATGGAAGGCGGCGACGTAGGTGATATGGCTCATCACGAAGGCTTGAATCAGTCTGACGAGCCTTGCTTCCTTCATCCCGCTTCTTCTATTGGCGACGCGGCGTATGAGACGCAGTGCCGTGCCGGTCTTAGCTTCGAGCTTGGAGACCGTTGCCCCGTTGACTTTGCTGCGTTCGATGATCATGCCCAGCACTCTAATCTTGGCTACCTCGGGGATGATGTGCCCCCCTTGCGTTCGTATGCGGATTTTATCGCAGTCTCGGATAGTTTGCTTCTTGCGGCTCGCTCCCCTGGGTGGAATCACCATCAGCTCCGACTTTGCGGGGGAACACACCAGCCCCGATCCCTTCAGTTGGTCCTCTATCGTTTTTACTGCTTCTTGTAGTGTATTCTCTATGTGGCCGTCGCTGCCGCCGGTGACCCACAGCGTCACATCGTCGGCATAAACCGTGTGGCGTACCCCATCGACGCTCCGCAGCCGGTTGGCGACTTCGATCATGACCAAGTTGAAGAGCAGCGGAGAGATTACCGCGCCTTGTGGTGTCCCCTCGCTGCCGAGCGTTTTCTCTGGTAGTTGGAGATCCCCGGCGCAGATGTGAGTCGTGCGGTCGGTCAGGAAATCCCGAATGTAATTGTAAGATCTCTGTCCCATGTTCAGGTGCGACACTTGGGCGAGGATCGCAGAGTGCCGGACTTTGTCGAAGGCGCTCTGCAGGTCCAGGCCCAGTATTGCCCTGTTGTCGCTGGTGTGAGTTTCGTAGTCTACTATCTCCTTCTTGAGTTGGAGCATGGCGTCTTGCGTTCCAAGCTTGCTTCGAAAGCCGACGAGAGAATCCGGGTAGAGCTCTGCCTCTTCGAGGTACTGTTGCCATCTGGTCATTAAGATGTGCTCTAGCAGTTTACCCACGCACGATGTTAAGGATATTGGGCGTAGATTCTCGATGTCGGGCGACTTGCCTGGTTTCGGAATGAGGATGGTTTTGGCTTCCTTCCACTGGCGTGGTAGCTTGCCGGCCCTCCAGCATTTATTGAAGTACGCCGTCAGTGCCGTCACGGCCGCGTCGTTCAAGTTTCTGAGCGCTTTGTTGCTGACGCGGTCCGGGCCCGACGCCGAACGCCTGTTCAGGTCTTGCATCGCATTTCGGACCTCCCATTCCTCGATGTCTTGGTCAACCTCGATGTTCTCTGCCCCCTGGTATTCTGGGTGCTTTTCCTTTGGGGAAACCGGGAGGTATTTGGCGTCGAGTCTCCTCTTCACCTCCGCTTCCCCGTGCTCCGCTACCGCCTTGTGTATAATTCTGCTGAGCTTGTACTGTTGTTCTCCCTTGGTCTGGGTGTCGTCGAGGAGGTGCCGGAGCAGTCGCCACGTCTTGCCCAGATGGAGTTGGCCGTCCGCCTCTCTGCACGTTTGCTCCCACTGCTGCCGGCCGAGCTCCTTGCTGTGTTTCTCTATTTCCCTGTTGATTTCCGCGATCTTTTTGCGGAGCCTTCTGTTTGTTCGTTATTGGTTCCACCTTCTCTTGAGGGCAGTCTTCGCCTCGATGAGGTGGGCCAATCTGCTGTCCATTTCGTGTATGTCTTCGTCCGTTTCTATCTCTGTCGTCACCTCCTCGGTCGTTTCTACTATCGCCTTCGACCACGCTTCTATATCTTCAATGTTACCATGCTGGCTTGGGAGCTGACGCCGAAACTCCTCCCAGTTCGTGTACCTGTGTGTTCGTTTCTCTTGGCTTGCACCGTTCCCCAGCGGGACCCGGATCTCTATGACCATGTGGTCGCTGCCGAAGTCGTGTTTGGTGTTTTTCCACGTTGCGGTGTCGTTCCCATTTATTTCGACGAACGTCAGGTCCGGGGTGGTGTCCCTGGCGACCGAAGTACCCGTTCTTGTGGGGGTCTCCGGGTTCGTGATTAGCGTTAGCCCCGCGTCCGTGGCGTCTTGCAATAGGTCTCTCCCCTTTTCGGTTGTCTTATCGTATCCCCAGTCGTAGTGTGGTGCGTTAAAGTCACCCCCTATTACGATCGTGCCTTTCTTTGTCGCACGCAGTGCCCTTTGCATGAGCGTGCGGAACTTTTGCTTTCTATGTCTGGGGCTGCTGTACACGTTGACCGCGAGCACGCTGGTTTTCCTCTTCTTCTTCCCAACGATCACCTCCACCGCGCTGCTATCGGTCCAGCCGCCGGTGGTCAGCTCGTGCTCGAGGAATACGATGCCCTTGCGGACGAATGTGCACACCCCGCCTGTTGGTTTGCGTATTCCAAACTTTTTCTTTTTTTTGTTTAGGGGCTTGGCCGCCTTGGCGTGTGCTCTGTATCCTTGAAGTTGGGGTGTGTCAGTGCATAGTGTTTCCTGAATCATAATGACGTCCGGTTTCCTCTCCATTCCCTGTAGGTGCCGTGTTAGCGTTGCCCTCTTATTGTGATAGCCGTTACAATTCCACTGCCAAATCAGGAGGTCCCTGACCGGCTGCTGGTCTGTTACTGCCCTTTTGTCTGGCTTGGCGTTCGATTTCGCTGTTGGGTTCATAATTGCTGTATTTGGGTGGTGATCTGGGTTTGGGCGTTCTGCACGAATGTCTGCATCTTAGCTTCCATACTCTGCAGGAACGTTTGCATCTGCGTTTGTAGTTGTAGCATTCCGCTTTGTATTTCTCCCAGCGTCATCTCTACCTTGTTGAATTTTTCCTTCATCGAATGTGCAATTTGTTCCCGCTCTTTGTCCATGCGGTCGAGCCTGGCCATGAGCTTTCTCTCTTTGGTATTCTCGATAATCCTCTTTTTGTTGCTGGGCTCCTTTGGCTGTTCCTCGTCGCTTTCGATGCTGCTTTTGGTAGCCTCCTCTTCGGCGATGGCTGGTTCCTCCTTCCTCTTAGGTGGCTTTGCTGGGGTTTTCTTCTTCGAGGATGGGCGGTGTATCTGCTCCACCTCTTGCTCCTGTTGCGGGGTCGGCAGTGACAGTGGCGCTTGACTCGCCCTTATTGCTTCTAGTAGTTTGTCGATCCTTGCGTCCATCTTCCCTTCCATCTTCTGTAGTAGCCTTTCGTTGTTTTCGCTGATCATGTCGTATATTTCTCGCCTTGTCACGGGCGGTTCTCCGGTGTTATGGTGTTGGCATGGTGGCTGCTGCTTGCTGCGGGGCGTTTCTTTCGACTTGCTTCCCTTAACTGCAGCCAACCACTTAAGCTTCCCGTCTTCCTGCTGCGACGGCGGCAGGTGTTTTTGCTGGCTCTTGTGTCTTTCGCGGCTGTCGGTGCGCCGTTGGCTTTCGCTGCACTCGCTTTTCTCCCTGCTCGGCAGCTGTGGAAAGTCCGATGACGTCATTGGTGGTCTTGTCTTCTGGAGCTGTTGCTGTTCGCGTTCCTCTCGGCGCTCCCATTGTCTTTTCGTGACGACGAAGGGGACCTTGAACTTGTTCTTGGAAATTCTATCTGCCGTCGGATGCGCTCCTCCACATAGCTTGCAACTTGGCTTGCATGCCTTCTCGTGGTCCGCGTCGGGGTTGGCCTCCCCGCACGCGAAGCATACTCTGGTCTCCGGGGTTGGACATACGTCGATGCGGTGTCCGACTTTTCCGCAACATCTACACACTTCATGATGTTTCCTGTAAAGCCCGCACTTGAGCAGTGCCGCTCGGTATATTACGTACCGGGGCACTCTCTGTCCTTCAAAGAGGGCGATGACCGCTGTAGAATTTCCAATCCTGTGCGCCTCTAGCGCCGTTGGGTTATACTTTGTCACGACCGCCTCATTTATGTCTTCGGGCGAGTCGTCAATTGCGATACCTCTGATGATTCCCTTCGCCGTCCCTTCGGGCGCGGTTCGGTAGGCGGAAACCTCAAATTCCATGTTGCTGAATTCGACGGTCCTGATCTTAGTGTAAATTTCGGCTCTCTGCTCGCTCGGCGTGCTCACGACTAAGATGTTCTGCGCCGCATTGATGCACACCATGTCTTCGCCCTGGTATTCTTTCGCCGTCCCCGCGGCCGCCATAATGGCGTCCGTGACGACCGGCGTCTCGATTCGAGCTACGTTCAGGCCGCCCCTGGGCCTAATCACGATCTTATGGTCGTCTCTGGGGATAGCCGCCGGCATACGGGCTGCTTTCTCGATATTCTCGGTAACTCGCTTGACAAAGTTAACTCTCTCCTTGGGTCTCGACTGCCGTTCCGCGGTTAAAGATGGTCTCTCACCTTGCAGCTCCTTGGCCTTGCGCATTCTTCTACTCGTCGTGGTCCATCCGCTCGACTCGCCGGGTGTCGCGTCGCGGCCTCCTACTTGAACGTACATCTTCCCTTCATCGTTGCCGACTATCGTGGCCTGCAGGCCTTTGGTTGCCGGGCTCTCGCACACCTCCATCGTCGGTGGCGACGCCATCTTATTCGTACTCGTCGGGTAGGCCTAACACCGGGGGCGATCGCCCCGGTGGCCGTACTCGTGCGCTAAGCCTAAGGCCTAGCAATGCTTGCTCGCCTCGAATTTTCGAAGTCCCAAAAGAGGCGAAAATTCACATACCACTTGCGCGATGTTGGTATCGGCTGGTTCCTCGTACCGTACCGCACACTTTCGTAACAAATAAACTGCAGTTGGCCGGAGCCGATAAACGATAAAAGGCCGTTCCTACCGCTGCCAGCTGAGCACAGCTGGCAGCGGCGCGAGCCCGCCCAGCCCTCTTCTTCTATCAATTAAAATTTCTTCTGCAGGAATGCACGCTCAGTAGACTCAATCTTCCAAGACACCAGTGGAAGCGGACGTCAAGTAAACTGCTTCGCGATTTTACGGTACTTACCTCACCATTATAATGACGACTAGAATAACGTCACGAAATATTGTGTTTCACGAGGTCCGGAAGATGTTGTAAAGGTTGTTACATTGCAGGGCGGGGGGGGGGGGGGGTTCAGAAAACGAACGCCGTTGCAATATTTTCGGAAGTACCGACACACATAATGTTGTAAGTAAGTACCGTAAATCGCGAAGCAGTTTACTTGACGTCCGCTTCCACTGGTGTCATGGAAGATTGAGTCTACTGAGCGTGCATTCCTGCAGAAGAAATTTTCATTGATAGAATATTAACACCTCAATCAACATTTGATTCCTTCTTGGTAAGATTTATTGCGAAAGCCCGTTACAACCGCCGAACCGGATCTCCCTATATCAGACAACAATTTATACCCAGCCTGACGTTCTCGCATACATCCGTTTGTTGGCCCACGCTACTTGAGCTGAGCTGAGCACAGCTGGCAGCGGCGCGAGCAAGGCCACAAGGGGAACGCGATGGTGCTCGAGCCATCCCACTGTGAACCAATGTTTCGGCCACCCCACGGGTGCGTGTCGCCATCTATTAGTTGAACTAACGCCTTGTTCAAGATGGCTGCCGTGGGACCGCAGCCTTAATGACCTATGAAACACGCGTCCGTTTTTCACCCCACGGAATAGAAGTCCCAGAAAAAAATAAAGAAAAACGAGCAGCGTTCACCCCCTCAACTCGCAGCCAGAACAAGCGGAAACGTGAACTGGAGCCGACTATATGCTGCCCATGTTGATCATAGCTACGCGCTGGGGTTGGCAAAGCACAGGGCACGCGCTGAGTTCCAGATATTGTTATGGCTCGGCTATTGTCGTCGTTGCAGCGATTGGACACGGGCCACTACCCGAATGCTTCTCGAGCTAGTAATTATCACGAGCCCAAATCGAGTGCCTACGCAATGCTCGGGTCCAGTCTATGAACCGCATTCAAATATCGTCACTTGGGTGTTCCGCGATCCCCACGTTACGTCATGAAATTTTGCAAAAGAGAGATTGAATGAAAATGATCGCTTTTGTCCTTGAAATTACACCGCAACAAAGGAGTTTCTTGGCCAGCGGAGTTGCGTGCGAGTATCCTTAAGCCCCACTAGTGCCAGTAAGCTCGTGTAAAGTGAAAAACATTCCAACTGAATATCGTTGCACAGCTCCTTTAAGAGCTGCGCTCTAAAATCTCTGTTGACCCCTGAGCTGACAGAGCTGTGTGAGTTACACGCTCGGCGGACCGATGAACCGCCTCCCTTTCATCCCCTCTCCCTACTCGTGGTCATGGACCGACGCGTGATCACGTGGATAAAGATAGACATAGGACAGGTTCGACGAGCACGTAGCTTCCACCGTACTGTCAGCTTAGGAAGAAAAGGAATGTGGTTCTTCCCAGAAAGAAACTCGTGAACCCATCACAGCCCGAAGAAGGATCCACGAATCCGAGTCAAACGATAGCAACAGCACCTTTCAGTGCTCGTATCCTGCCAGACTAATCCCTGTTGTTCAGGTTTGGGGGTTCTAAATTATACTACATTAATTCCTTCCCTTTCCTCTAAAACGACTTCTATCTCCCCCTCTAGCCCCCCACTTTTCTTCCCCCAACCCCCTAAAGCCAGTGACCAATGCGCCCTGGACGCGTACACGATTGGCCCTCCCCTACCCCCTCATCGACTTTTACAACGCCTACACACACACGCTCGACATCCGAGTGTGACAGAGCCTTTAGGGTACCGAAGCGGCTATTGGCTGCGGCAGTCTTCCTTTCTTCTTTCCCTCGTCGCGCCGCCTCTGAGCGTCCCTCCGTATTCAACGTGCGATGAGCCCGACTAAGTTGATTATCCATCCCCAGGAGATGTGCCTTCTTGGTTTGTTTATTTATTGGTGGGGCCGTCCGGTAAGGGAGAAAAATAGAGAATTGGGGATGAAAGAATGGAACGCAAGCCTCCCAGAGGCCAAGTTTCGCTCAGACCGGTCCGTGTGAACGAAAACCGGTGCCTTAGGGACGTGAAGTGTTTGTTCCGAGCGCCGTTACACGGCCCAAGTGAAAAAAGAAAGCCATTACGTGTTGCCGCCGGAGTCCGAGACGGGGTCATGGCGAATCAATGCGGATGCTGGGAGCAGGCTCACCTCCCCGTTGCCATGGTGACAATCCCACCACGTGACCGGGCCGGGACTGGACGCAAGGTGGCCGCGAAGGGAGGTTTCGACGTCCGACAGAAGATGGCGCATTCCGAGGTCCCGCTCCTTCGCCGCAGCAGGGGGGTAAGTCGCTTACTGCGGGCACGCCGATGCTCTTTTCCCACAAAATGAGAACCTTTCTTTTTTTTATCTCGACAGAAATCGTTTTAACGAGGGTTTTCGTTTTTAGCGTGACGCTACCGGTGATGCGGATGCTTGGTTTGCCGCCGCTTGGAGAGATTTCCAGGCGTCGTCGGTGTTGTGGCGATACTTGTAGTTTAATCACTGCGGAAGTTCGGGAGACTCCGGGATGCGCGGTGCATTCCGTCGCAGGCGACATTTTTTTTTTTTTTTTGGCTGCGCGCTCTCAATTTTTGATTAGAAAAAAAAAAAATCGATGAGGCGCGTATTTCTGCGTTTCCTTTCTTGTTATTAATTTCACTGTCATTTTGATGTGGATTAAAAAAAAAAAAGAAAAGCTATTGATGGAAGATGAATATCAGCTGGATTCACGCAGGTTTGCTCGCATTGGAATTACTTTCGATAATCTATAAGCTCCGAGCAGACCTTGGTTTTGATTATTTATTGCGAGCCGGGACATATACAGCGCAATGAGACGCTTAAAATATGACCGCACGTCTTTGTTTCCATTTCTTATTTTGGGAAAGGAGGCCTCGGATGAGAGGGTTTAATCTATGTTTTTTTATTTCTTCATTTCTCTGAGCGGTACGTCGCCTGATAAATACGTTCATTATAAGGCTTACATACAGATAATTTGTGCTACTGTGTGAAGTTAAGTTCGAGTGAACAATCATGAAAAACGTACGCTAATTTCGTCTCGATGCTGATGCTTTTATTGCGGTGGAAAAATTGTGATGTATTTTTTTTTCTTCACGGGGCAATAATATTTTGATTGTGGAGTAGACACAAAACATTGTGCCTACGAATCGAGCTCGGTGCAAACATTTCTTAGAACTGTACATAGTGTTAAGTCATTTAAAAGGAAAAAAACTGTTGGCTATTGTTTTATTAGATATTGTTCTGAGAAATGCCTGTAAACACTCTCCTCAGTAAAGTGCATAAACAATGCTTTCTGGACATCAATTTGTGAAGTCCTGCAGAAATCAGAAAAAAGACGACATTTTTCTTTCACCAAAGCCATTCGACAAACTTAACAGTGAAATGTCATTCGATAAGTGTGATGTTTTGTGGTGAACAGCTAGTGAACAAATACATTAATGAAACAACGCGTAAAAAGTTGTCTAAATCTGTGGCAGCAGTAGCATGTAGAACGTGTCTACATGGATCAGAGCGAGTTTTCAACAGCTCTATTATAAATTTTGTTCTTAACAGTCATTGGGCAATGTTGAGATCAATTGAAAAGTTGAAATGCGTGGCATCGCCAAAGTGGAGCAAGAATTCCTGATTTTCCACATTTATTTAGCTGACACAAGGTACTACATATACTTTTCACACAATCGTCTATGAGCAATTCAGCACACGCTACTCAACTGGGAATAACTGCTAGTATGCATACAGGGAGCGCACTTTACGTACTATGGCTCAAGAGCTGGCAATCAGTAAACGTGCGTGCACACCATGACATGCTTGCTCAGGTTTCTCAAGCCAGAAGCTCTGAAACAGCTAAGCTCGTTTATTTTCGGTAAACGGGGGAACCCACCTGAAGAGTCTATGTAGGGAACTGCCTTGAAGTTCTGATAAATGTCTGCATAATCGCCGCTGGGTCCTTGAAACACACGTGCGTGAATCCGTATACCAGGAGGGGGGCGGATGCTCTCGGGAGTGCCGGGGACGGGTCCGAACCGTGCAGAGTGGCAGATGCCTTCAACCGGGGTCCCACTGCTCACACCATCATACAAAAGACAGTCTGCAATATCAGTGAGCAAAATTTCGCCTTGATCTCTTTGCCGATACGGCATTCGAAGCGCGGATCTCGCCGTGACTCACGTTCGAATATGTATGCAGACTGTCTTTTGTATGATGAATAAGCGGTGTGACGCCGGCTTTACGGTGAGACGCGTCACTCTCTCGATTGCACGGCGTGCCTTCCGTTGGGAAATGTCGACAGCTAGAAACATTCTGCCAGCAAAGGTCGCAGTGTGACGAGAAATTAGAGCTTGGGTATCAGCGGCAGCCGCCTGTTGTCGCCGTCCGGATCAGGCGGTCAAGCCACGGCCAGGAAGATCCCGCGCCGTTGCCGCTCGTTGTCGCGCATCCCGGTGATATGCATTCGAACACGGACGGATGGCCGCTACTCCTGGCAAAAAAATATCTGTCCCCGAAGGCCGCTATTGCACGAGGCAAATATTGTACGCGGCGATCCAATATGCGACATCACATTGGCAAGCCGCCATGTTGAAATGCGTTCAAGGTACGCCTAACCCAATCTTAAAATTTGAGCATTTCAGGATCTGTTCAAGTTAGGGTGGATTTATGAAGCCCGCTTGTCTTGTCTCAAGACAGACCTAAGCAAGTCGAAGTTCGAATTCGGATCAAGTCACGTATGAATTCGTGGGTTAGAGTCACTAAATAAGCTACGTTTCAGAGTAACCACACTTACCAATCTTGGGCTTAAATTCACGGTTGCCAGTTATCTGAAACTTTATCCGAAATCACAGGAAACGCTTTTCCGTCCTCCACAAATGTTGACACAGTTCGCAACAAATAAAAGCAATATTACATGAGCTTTCTAACACCGAATGTAATGCTGAGGAATTCGCACTTTTCAATCATGACAATCGGCACTTGCGTCCGCTCTGCACAAGCACCAAGATGGCGGCGCCCACAACAATGTCGGGGAACAGGGTGCTCATTTAGTCGCTCTAGTCAAGCTGTCGGTGACTCTAGCCATGGTCTGAATTAGGTGCGACGACATCATCTTCTCGGTAGCGCGAATTCGCTCGTCGATATCGCAGCGATCAGGGCGCAGAGCTGAACGAGGGGCCTTTGACCCCCTCGTTGTACGCTTGGTATCATTTTATACGTTCAACAGACGTGCCGGGATAGTTGCTCCAATTTTCCGCTTTTTCGGGAAACGCGCGAAAACGTGTCAACGGCGATGTAACTGGTCCTCTTAAAAAAAATTTGGTGACACTGACGTGCTTACTGTACAGGCGCTCTCATAGGAAGCTAGGCTCAGTCACAATATTCGGGGCAACTTCTGCGCTCTTCTATACGCAGCCATCGCCATATCGAATGGCACAGCTAGCTTCAAGTATGAACGAAAACATTGTTTTAATCTCTCCAAAGCATGGGAAAGGGTAAAGGTTTTAAGCATAACCGTTTCTATTTTTTCTTGTATCGCCTATTAATATTTTTTAGTTTTAAGGTTAAGCGCTTTATTCGTGTTCATAATCCATCCATTTCTTCCCATCATAATCAATGAAGATAGAGTTAATAGTATTATAGTATTATGTTTTTCAGCGCGCATACTTGATAGGTAAGCCACGTAAGTGGGGCGAGTGTAAACAAACCTGGAATTCCTATCGCACATGACTAACACCGTGATCCCAAGGGGTTGTCGCCGCTGCCGTTTGGATGTAAGGACGCAGCGGCAAATTCACCGTGTATTTGGGCCGTTCGGACGAGGAGCTACAGCGGAATAAGTTTGAGCAGAGGGGGTGTACATTAAGAATAGTCTGGGTGGCAGATGTCAAGTGCCCTTTCGACCTTGAGCTTTCTGCATACTGCTGGTTGATAACCGACCAAAAGCCACGCGAGTAGCCGGCTCAATGAAGAGCCGTTTCGCCTTCAGAAAGCCATTTGGAAGTGGCCTTTCAAGACGGAAAAGGTTCGCCAGGCTCACATTATCGTTATTTGGAGTTTCCGTCCACGTGCACGATTCCTCATCGGAGTTGCTTTCGGCCTTCACAAGTCTAAGAAAGACGGCGAGTGGCTCCGCCAACGACAAAGTCAGGAAGCACAATCGAGGACGCATGTAGGTCAGCGAATAGCACGTGAAAGACGAGGCCTGCTCATGACATCATCTTTAGTGGATCTCCGACCCGCCCAAGCGGCGAATACGCTGAAGCTGAACAAGAGTAGCAAAGCGCCAAGCGTCGGTCTTGGCGTCGCCGCCTGCTGTCCGGCTCTGCAAGAAACTTCGAAACGGGCTAGCGGTGATCATGACGCCAGCAAGGCGGCACGGATCCATTGGTCACGACGTCTGGGAAGGGAAGGCCTTATCTTCTTTTAGGTGCTTTTGCGTCAATGATTGGAATCCAGTTCCCTGCAGAAACCCCTGCTCACCCCGTTTTCTTGTTTCGTGCTCGATTTCGTCACGGCGCATCATCGGATGATACGTGGCCAGAGCCTCAAGCGTTGGCTGATCTTATTTTGAAAAAACGGCCACCACCATGCGTGAAGGTCGGCTACCAGCCCATACTCGTAACTTTCACGACCTATAGGAGGCGCACTGGCGTCTATCAAAATGGCTGTCATCAGGATGATCGTCATGAAACTGCAGTGCGAGGTTGGGTCTGCGACGCGTAAGGAATAAGAGGTTTGCTATATACGAGCAGTATTGGAGCCTTACTGTACTTTTTCACGTTTGGAGGGTGCATGGAAGCACCTTTATTGGGAAGGCAATCATTTAGGATCTAGGGAGCACGATTCTCACACCGCGGTACCACCATCGCCGAAAGTTGCGAATAGCCGACCACCTTAACTAACGCAATCGATCGCAAAAAAAGAAAAAAAAAAACGATTTTGAAAACTTTGCTTTTCGTTTAGAAGGTCCAAGAAGCCAATCTGGCGAGGGTTCACGCGGATTCTCGGGAGGATTCACGTGTATTGTCGCGAGAGTTGAATCCGGACCTACGGAGATCTTGCGTCACAGAAGCGTCGCTGTGGGCGGCCTTCCATCATTGGCTCACCATGACGGCCGTAACAGGGTCCATTCCACTTTGATCGACGGAAAGGAGAATTTCGTCCCAACGCCAGATTTGACGGTCGTGGTTTAGGAACGTGATCACCCGGAGCTTTCATCGAGCTCTTTACACGCACCATTACACCTGTCCTCAGCAGCGGATGATAGGTGGCCAGGATTAGGAGCATCGAAGAAGATGATGGTTGTGCCGTCATAGGGCAGAATATTAGGAGGACGTTTTTACTGTTTCCATAATTTGTTCCTCAAATTTTCGACTGGTGACGTCAGGACTGCGTAAAAGTGCGCATTGCCACGACCCGAGCGGTGACGC